GTGACGAACTTGCGTATGAGCAGTCGTTCGTCGCTACTCTCCAAGTCCTCGGTGTCAGAATCCCAACCACTAGACCATTGGGATAAAAGGGCTTGTTTCAGTAGCGGGTCAGTGCGCCCATAACCCCCCAGGCAAACGCGCCTGTAACCCTCTCCAGGATCAATCGGGCATCCACAGTGCAGATCTACTGATACCCCCCCACACTGGGAGGCCCAGGACTAAGCACAGCGGCAACGGCCTACATGTGCATACACCGGGAATCGAACCCGAGACCGCTCTGATACCATGTCAGAATCCCAACCACTAGACCATTGGGATAAAAGGGCTTGTTTCAGTAGCGGGTCAGTGCGCCCATAACCCCCCAGGCAAACGCGCCTGTAACCCTCTCCAGGATCAATCGGGCATCCACAGTGCAGATCTACTGATACTCGGCGAGCTCCCTCAGCCTGCAATAGTAGGCCAGCAGGGATTCCTCTCTTCCCCGGCGGAACTCTTCCACCCTTGCTTTGGTCTGGCCCAGGAACTCCTTCTTTAGTAGTTCGATGAAGCGCGTGGTCGGGTTGACTGTCTCCCCGCATTCCCATTCCTCGAGCACTTCACTCCGGGTCATCCGGTAAAAAGTCTCCGCTTCGCCCGCCAATGTCACTACCATCCGTCTGAAGAACTCGGCAGGGTCCAGTCCGTCCCGTTCCCAGCAGTACTGCACCGTCTCGAGCTGCATCAAGTAGTTCTTCAAGGTAGGGCCCACTCCGGGAATCCCTGTGAATCGCTCGGCCACTTCTGGTTTTGGGAGAGCGCCGCCCTGCCACCTTTTTTCATTCGGACGTGGAGGGAGCGCCACAGCCGCTGGTACCTCCGCTGACCGGCTAGCCACGATTTCCTGATTCGGCGGCGTCTGAAACCCGCTTTCTGGCTGGCGGCGTAGCCAAGGCGCGTGCACCGGCGTCCGGTCTGTCTCTATCCCCGGCATCTCTCTAGGGGAAGTGACCGCGGGCCTCCGCTCCCATCGCGCCCGTGCTTCACGTGCCCATTGCATATCGTGGGGCGTTTCTCCTGGGTCTGACGCGACGGTGCGCCGCGGCTCCATCCCCTCTTGTCTGTCCCGTTCACGTTGATGCGGGGTGCGATAGGCCGCGGTTCTTGGCGGTGACGAACGCGCCGCTTCGGTCGCAGTTTCTCTTTCCCGGATGGTGGTGGTAGCGGCGCGCCAGCTTGGCTCCGCGAGAGGCGCTTCTCTACGATAGTTCTGTCCGGATCGCAGTTTAAACCTATCGGTCATACTAACTCCGTGGCGACAGCGGGTCGCTTTCTTGCTTGTTTGTTGAAAGTTCCTAGCTACTAGATCTTGGCTAGGAAAACCTAACTCGGCTGACTGCCGATCAAACCCCTTTTCAACAATTCACTTGGGCTTGCTGTGGTTGGCTCCTCTACGAAAGCAGCAATAGGGAGTAACAAATCTTTGGCTAAGAGTGGAAACAAACAAGCAAGCAATTGAACCTACTTCGGTTGCTTGCCTAAGTAGTAGGGTCGGGTTACCGTTGCTCCACAACGGATACCCGCTTTCGCTATGTCTCCTCGTTTCCCCCGCCTTGATTGCGCGGGGTTCCTTTAACTCCTTTGTAACTCTACTCACTACTGTAATCTGTCATGATTTTATATTGTCCCTGCCTACGCTATTTTAGCAATTAAAAACATGACAGCACCATAGCGATTGGCTGTAGCGTGTAGCGAAGCTTCGGGTCGTGGGCTGAGAGGAGAAAGGCCAGACTGGGTGGTGGGAGGCGAGAGGCGCGGGAAACGCGGCGGGATTTAGCTAATCCACTACAAGCATGAGACGCGGCGCAGGGAGTGGTGCGTGCAGCGGAGTGAGTGGAAATGGCTTGCGAGGGACGAGAATGGAGAGAGGGCCGCGTGGAGAGGCGAGCGGCGAGAGGATAGGGAACGGCTCTCCGCGAGGAGCGGAGGCCGTTGGAAAGCGTGCGAGCACCATGCTCTGATTGGCTGTAGTCTGAAGTGAAGCTACGGGTCGGGTGATTGTAACGAGAGACGCCGAGCTAGGAATCAAAGTTGCCGCGACGACAACGATGAAAATAGCTATATTGGCGAAGTGTTAGCGAAGTAATCCGCCATGGTTACGAGAGACATTGCCGAGATTAGTTTCTGAAAGCAAACATCTGCGATATGAAGCTGCGCGTTACATCAATTGTGAATCCCTCGTTGAAATGCTAGAAAATACTTGGACTCCAGTTCAGAGGGTTTGATTACGGTTGGCAGCAGTCTATTCAAAGTCTAATTCGGTTGGGTAGGTTACTGAGTACATCCACAGATATTTATTGGGGAGACTACAGTTTACACACGAAATCCCGGTGTTTCCATTCTTGACAGTCTTTGGTGTTTGTCCGTGATGCTTCTAAAACAAGCCCGTTTTTTTCCCGCCATTGCCGCAGCGGCCACGTCATCCACATCCCTCGTCGCGCCACGTGTACCACGCCAATATCGCTCTCCCTGCAGTCTGTGGGCCGTGTTCCAGGCACAGGCTGCATGCTCCGCTAGTGTAAACCCCGCTAATAGCAGAGAGTGCACTCCTCCACACCGCCCAACTCATCATCTTCCTCCACCTACAATGTCGACATCGGTAGGATGTCTGACGTCAGCATGTCGTTACGCCGCTGCCGCTGCCATTTCCCGCGCTGACGTCACCGCGAGTGCCGCAGCCGGCAGGACTGACGTCAGCCATTTCGCTAGCTATGTTGGAAACCCAATCAGGCGACAAACCCGCGGTGACGCGTTATCGTTTAGAAGAAACGGCGCGTTTTCCGCGGAGAGCTGGACACGTGGCGCAGGCGGCTCCGAAATGCCGACGTTTTCCAGAGGCGTGGGGCTTCGAAGGTTCCAGGTGGTTTCGCCAGTGTGCATGGGACGGCGATCGTCGAAAATCGCGACGCGCAAGGTGCGGAGGGCCGGTCAGTGGTGGCATGGAACGGGGATTCGGGGATCGGGGATGCGAGATTGAGGATCGGTGTGCTTGCTTTAAGTCAACTCAGAGCGCGCAAGGTGCTGAGGGTTGGTGCATAGCGGCGGGGAATGGGGGATCAGCGGGGTTGCAGCGAGGGATCGTGGAAAGGGAGGGGGAATGCGCGCGCAAGGTGCGGAGGGCTGGTGAAAAGCGGCGGGAAGTGGGTAATGAGGAATGGGGGGGGTCGAGGATGGGTGTTTTTTGAGTCGAGCCGAAACATGGAGCGTGGGGAGGGCTGGTGCGTGAGTAGCGGCGGGGAATGCGCGGATCTGGATAGGACACATGGGGGGAGAAAGTGCGCCTGGGAACGGGGGAAGAGAGTTGACTTTTGAGTCGACTCAAAAGTCCGACATGGGGGGAGAAATTGCGCCTGGGAACGGGGGAAGAGAGTTGACTTTTGAGTCGACTCAAAAGTCCGACATGGGGGGAGAAATTGCGCCTGGGAACGGGGGAAGAGAGTTGACTTCTGAGTCAACTCAAAAGTCCGACCTGGGGGGAGAAAGTGCGCCTGGGAACGGGGGAAGGGCGACGGGGGGTGGATGAATATGGGTGAGGGGACGACGGGGGGGACGAGGAGAAGGGGGGCCAGGGGAGGGGCAGGAGTGTTGAACCGATAGAGGTGCTAGAAGAGGGGCAATGAGATGAGCATGGGGGATGCAGAGAGAATGGGGAAAAAGTAGCCATGGGGGATTGGGTGGGGGAACAAGGGAATTGAGACTGAAGGGTTTAAGGGGATGGGGCCGGAGGGCTTATATGGTATTCTCAGGGTTAAGGTCTTGGGGTTTCTAGGTTTCTGGTTTGAATTCTCGTGGTTCCAGGGTTTAAGGTTTTAGTGTCAAGATGATGGTCCTGCTTTTTTCTGGTTGATTTCCTCTGGGTTTTAGGTTTCTGTTGAGAAATTTCAAAAGCGGTTGATTTTGCACGATTGGTGAGGGAGGGCTTTGAAATCTCGTGGTTTCGGGGTTTGTTTCTTTTGAGAATTTTCAGAAGTACCATCAACGTAGCGGGTTTTAGCGTCAAGAATGTTGACCTTGCGTTGTTCGGGTTGACCTTCTCTGGGTTTTAACTTTCTTTTCAGAATTCTCAAGGGTGGTTGATCCTGCAAGATTGGTGGGGGCTTCAAGGTGACTTTCTTGTTTGAATTTTCTTCTTCGAGAATTTGGGGGGATGGAATATTTCCTCGATACTGCGAATAATGTGAAGTAAAGGAAATATTTTGCTCAAAAACCTTGCACGTCTTGTTCCTGGGCACAAACAGGACGTTGCTAAGGTACCCTCCCCCGCCCCTATTATCCACTTCCCCATCCCCTTTTCTCCCACCCCTCCCCCTCCCCCCATCTCCCCTTCCCCCCCCTTTCTCTTCTTCCCATTTTTTCAATATCTGTGGTGAATGCAGAATGCACAGGATGCGCGCAATGCATGTCTCAGCTAACCGCACCCACCAACCTTGCTCCCCTGTTCCCCTTCCCCCTATCCCCCTCCTCCCCCACTCCTTCCCCCCAAGACAATCACTGTGTTGAGTGCAGAACGCACAGGATGCTTGGTAGACATTTTTCAACTACCCTCGCCCGCCAACCTTGCTCCCTTGTTCCCCTTCCCCCTATCCCCCCCTCCCTCCCCCCCACACCTTTCGCCCGCCAACCTTGCTCCCCTTTTCCCCAAACCTCAGTGCTGCTGAGTGCAGAATGCACAGAATGACTTTTGAGGCGCCTCAAAAGTCACCTCAGTGCTGAGTGCAGAGTGTACAGGATGCGTCCTAGATGAGACCCTCACCTGCAAGCCATTCTTCAGGATTCAGCTACCCCACCCCACCCACCCTACCTCACCCTCCAACCTTGCTCCCTTTTTTTGCCTTGCGCACCTTGGCCCCCCAAAACAGTCACTGGGTTGGCAAAAAAAGGGAGCAAGGTTGGCGGGTGACTGTTTTGCCTTCCCCACCTTGGCCCCCCAAAACAGTCACTGTATTGAGTGCAGAACGCACAGTATGCTATGCACGCAAGACACTTCTCAGCTCCTTGGTCCGCCCCCTTCTCCCCCTTCTCCCCCCATTCCCACTTTCCACCCGGAAAATCTCTGTGTTGAGAGCAGAACGCACAGGATGCGCGCAAGTCGAAGCTGTACGGCAATCGTTTCTACGCCCATTCACCCCACTCTGCGCCCCTTCCGCCCACTCCCCCCACCCACTCCCTCCCCCCCTCCCTCTCCCACCATTTCTGCTGAGAGCAGAGCGCACAGGACGCGCGCAAGTCGAAGCTGTACGGCACATTCTTGAGTTGTCCCAGCAACCTTGCTCCCCCTTTCCCCCTTTCCCCCTTTCCCCCTCTCCCCCCGTCCCTTGCCTCCCGAATCCCTGTGTTGAGAGCAGAACGCACAGGACGCACGCAAGGCATTTCCCAGCTACCCTCACCCACCGCCAACCTTGCTCCCTCTTTTCCCCTTTCCCCCGCACCCCAACATCTCTCCCCCCCCCCCCCCCCCCCCCCGTCAAATCTCTGTGGTGAGAGCAGAACGCACAGGACGCGCGCAAGTCGAAGCTGTACGGCAAATTTGGGAAGCAAATCATATCCGCGTGAGTGCAAATCATATCTGCGTGAGTGCAAATCATATCCGCGTGAGTGCAGATCATATCCGCGTGAGTGCAAATCATATCCGCGTGAGTGCAAATCATATCCGCGTGAGTGCAAATCATATCCGCGTGAGTGCAAATCATATCCGCGTGAGTGCAAATCATATCCGCGTGAGTGCAAATCATATCCGCGTGAGTGCAGATCATATCCGCGTGAGTGCAGATCATATCCGCGTGAGTGCAGATCATATCCGCGTGAGTGCAAATCATATCCGCGTGAGTGCAAATCATATCCGCGTGAGTGCAAATCATATCCGCGTGAGTGCAAATCATATCCGCGTGAGTGCAGATCATATCCGCGTGAGTGCAGATCATATCCGCGTGAGTGCAAATCATATCCGCGTGAGTGCAAATCATATCCGCGTGAGTGCAGATCATATCCGCGTGAGTGCAGATCATATCCGCGTGAGTGCAGATCATATCCGCGTGAGTGCTGCCGATTGATCTTATTCAGGTGCGATTCGTATGAGAACAAACAAAAAAAGGCAGGTAATATCAATTTTTGAGACGTCTCAAAAATGCCCTTCTTTCACAAAAAAGGCAGGTAATATCCACGACACAATCTTTCTAAACTTGTTCATTTGGCCTTTTTTTTTCGTTGTCATGCAAGTGACTTGGAGTTGACTCAGTGACTTGGGGGAGCTGACTCAGTGACTCGGGGGAGCTGACTCAGTGACTCGGAAGTGGACTCGGGAATTGACTCGGTGACTCAGGAGTTGACTCAGTGAATCAGAGGAGTTGACTCGGTGACTCAGGAGTTGACTCAGTGACTCAGAGGATTTGACTCGGTGACTTGGGGGAGTTGACTCGGTGACTCGGGGGAGTTGACTCTGTGACTCAGGGGAGTTGACTCGGTGACTCGGGAGAGTTGACTCGGTGACTCGGGGGAGTTGACTCGGTGACTTGGGGGAGTTGACTCTGTGACTCAGGGGAGTTGACTTGGTGACTCGGGGGAGTTGACTCGGTGACTCGGGGGAGTTGACTCGGTGACTCAGAGGAGTTGACTCGGTGACTCGGAGGAGTTGACTCGGTGACTCGGGGGAGTTGACTCGGTGACTTGGGGGAGTTGACTCGGTGACTTGGGGAAGTTGACTCGGTGACTTGGGGGAGTTGACTCGGTGACTCGGAGGAGTTGACTCGGTGACTCAGAGGAGTTGACTCGGTGACTCAGAGGAGTTGACTTGGTGACTCAGAGGAGTTGACTCGGTGACTCAGAGGAGTTGACTCGGTGACTCAGAGGAGTTGACTCGGTGACTCAGAGGAGTTGACTCGGTGACTCAGAGGAGTTGACTCGGTGACTCAGAGGAGTTGACTCGGTGACTTTGGGGAGTTGACTCGGTGACTCAGAGGAGTTGACTCGGTAACTCAGAGGAGTTGACTCGGTGACTTTGGGGAGTTGACTCGGTGACTCAGAGGAGTTGACTCGGTGACTTTGGGGAGTTGACTCGGTGACTCAAAGGAGTTGACTCGGTGACAGTTGTCATGTCAGCAACACCCCCCTCACCCTCCTCTGTACAGAGTCAAGGCAGCCAGTCCCAGTCCCAGCCCTGCAAGCAATTCGGTGCTGGCAGTGCTGCTTACAACACCCACCCCTCTCCTCCTTGCCCTCCCCCTCCCCTCCCAGAGTCAAAGCAGCCGGTCCCAGCCCTGCTATTCGGCGCTGGCAGCACTGCTTACAACACCCCCCCACCCCCCCCTTCTCCCCCATGCCCTCTCCTCCCAGAGTAAATGCAGCCGGCCCCAGCCCTGCTAGCAATTCGGCGCTGGCAGCGCTGCTGGTGGCGGCGAAGCAAGGAGTGGTGAAGGAAATTGTTGATCGGAACACACACACCAACAACACCCCCCTCAACAACCCCCTCCCCTCCCTTTCCCCTCCCCCTCCCAGAGTAAATGCAGCCGGCCCCAGCCCTGCGAGCAACTCGGCACTGGCAGTGCTGCTGGTGGCGGCAGTGGCAGCTCTGCCCATCACCCCCACCCTCCACTCCCACCCCCCACTCCCTGTCCCTTGCCCTCCCCCGTTCCCCTTCCAAAGTCAAGGCAGCCGGTCCCAGCCCAGCCAGCAACTCAGCGCTGGCAGCGCTGCTGGTGGCGGCGAAGCAAGGGGGAGTGCTTGTCCAAAGAGGTGATTGGTCAGTACCCACCAGAAACACCACCCTCACCAATCTCTCTACCCTTTCCCCTCACCCTCCCCTTTACTCTACGCTTCACCCCCTTTTTCCTCTCTCCCAGAGTCAAAGCAGCTGGTCCCAGCCCAGCCAGCAACTCGGCACTGGCAGCGCTGCTGGTGGCGGCAAAGCAAGGCGGAGTGCCAAAGGATGTGATTGATCGGAACATCAAACGAGCGACGGAGAAGGGGCAGGCGGATTTCACTGAAATTGTGTATGAGGTGCGTGGGAGTGTGACTGTAAAAGTGCGTGATTGTATCGGGGAAGGAGGGGGGAGTAATGGAGCAGCAAGGGGGAGTGCCCAAAGATGTGATTGATCGGAACATCAAACGGGCGACAGAGAAGGGACAGGCGGATTTCACTGAAATCGTGTATGAGGTGCGTGTGTGTGTTAGTGAGTAACTGTGGTGTTAGTGAAAATTGACTCCAACATGGGCGGCATAGTGGTGGACGTGCTAACAGACAAGACTGCCCACTTATTGCCCTACACTAACACATGTTCCCTACACTTTGTACTCAATATAATAACTTGCGGCAGATCTACGGGCTCGGAGGAGTCGGCATAGTGGTGGACGTGCTAACAGACAACAATGCCCGGGCGGCAGCTACAGTGCGCGACGTGGTTCGCAAGGGCGGCGCCAAGATGGCCGATCCAGGCTCGGTGCTATTTAACTTCAAGAGGTGCTATTTAACTTCAAGAGGTGCTATTTAACTTCAAGAGGTGCTATTTAACTTCAAGAGGTGCTATTTAACTTCAAGAGGTGCGCTCTTGAATTTCAGCAAGTGAGTTCCTGATTTTTTTCAATGGTTCAATGCACACTGGGCGGAAGATTCAGTGTTTCTGGGACGTGGTGTGCAAGATGGCGGCGCCAAGATGGCCGCGCCGGGCTCTGTGCTCTTCAATTTCAAAAGGTGCGCTCTTGAATCTACACCCTTCAGAAGGTGGTGTGTCTTTCCTTTCAGAAGGTAGTGTGCTATGTATGCGACAACCTCCGAGCTCAGTGCTTCTCAATTTTCAGAGGTGCGCTCTTGATTCTAAGAGAGGTTTTTCTTTCATGAGGTAAGCTTTGGAATTTGTCAAGAGATGCGTTTTTGAAACCAACAGTGGGGTTTGCTGTATACCTGGGCGGCGGTTACGGTGTCTGTGGGATGTGGTGAGGGATGGAGGCGCCAACACGAGGCGGTGGCAGTGGTGGTGGTGGCAGGGTATGCAGGTGGTGCTAATCATTCCCCTCTCTTCATTCCTCCACTTCTCCTTCTCCCTACCATCACAGGCAGGGTGTGCTGCCAGTCCCAGCAGCCACAGCAGACCCGGACGAGGTGTTGGTGGTGGTGGATGCAGGGGCTGACTGTAATGGTGCTGCTGGTCTGCTGCTCGTGCTGCTGGTCTGCTGCTCGTGCTGCTGGTCTGCTGCTCGTGCTGCTGGTCTGCTGCTCGTGCTGCTGGTCTGCTGCTCGTGCTGCTGGTCTGCTGCTCGTGCTGCTGGTCTGCTGCTCGTGCTGCTGGTCTGCTGCTCGTGCTGCTGGTCTGCTGCTCGTGCTGCTGGTCTGCTGCTCGTGCTGCTGGTCTGCTGCTCGTGCTGCTGGTCTGCTGCTCGTGCTGCTGGTCTGCTGCTCGTGCTGCTGGTCTGCTGCTCGTGCTGCTGGTCTGCTGCTCGTGCTGCTGGTCTGCTGCTCGTGCTGCTGGTCTGCTGCTCGTGCTGCTGGTCTGCTGCTCGTGCTGCTGGTCTGCTGCTCGTGCTGCTGGTCTGCTGCTCGTGCTGCTGGTCTGCTGCTCGTGCTGCTGGTCTGCTGCTCGTGCTGCTGGTCTGCTGCTCGTGCTGCTGGTCTGCTGCTCGTGCTGCTGGTCTGCTGCTCGTGCTGCTGGTCTGCTGCTCGTGCTGCTGGTCTGCTGCTCGTGCTGCTGGTCTGCTGCTCGTGCTGCTGGTCTGCTGCTCGTGCTGCTGGTCTGCTGCTCGTGCTGCTGGTCTGCTGCTCGTGCTGCTGGTCTGCTGCTCGTGCTGCTGGTCTGCTGCTCGTGCTGCTGGTCTGCTGCTCGTGCTGCTGGTCTGCTGCTCGTGCTGCTGGTCTGCTGCTCGTGCTGCTGGTCTGCTGCTCGTGCTGCTGGTCTGCTGCTCGTGCTGCTGGTCTGCTGCTCGTGCTGCTGGTCTGCTGCTCGTGCTGCTGGTCTGCTGCTCGTGCTGCTGGTCTGCTGCTCGTGCTGCTGGTCTGCTGCTCGTGCTGCTGGTCTGCTGCTCGTGCTGCTGGTCTGCTGCTCGTGCTGCTGGTCTGCTGCTCGTGCTGCTGGTCTGCTGCTCGTGCTGCTGGTCTGCTGCTCGTGCTGCTGGTCTGCTGCTCGTGCTGCTGGTCTGCTGCTCGTGCTGCTGGTCTGCTGCTCGTGCTGCTGGTCTGCTGCTCGTGCTGCTGGTCTGCTGCTCGTGCTGCTGGTCTGCTGCTCGTGCTGCTGGTCTGCTGCTCGTGCTGCTGGTCTGCTGCTCGTGCTGCTGGTCTGCTGCTCGTGCTGCTGGTCTGCTGCTCGTGCTGCTGGTCTGCTGCTCGTGCTGCTGGTCTGCTGCTCGTGCTGCTGGTCTGCTGCTCGTGCTGCTGGTCTGCTGCTCGTGCTGCTGGTCTGCTGCTCGTGCTGCTGGTCTGCTGCTCGTGCTGCTGGTCTGCTGCTCGTGCTGCTGGTCTGCTGCTCGTGCTGCTGGTCTGCTGCTCGTGCTGCTGGTCTGCTGCTTCTGCTGCTGGTCTGCTGCTCGTGCTGCTGGTCTGCTGCTCCTGCTCATTCCCCTCCCTTCCTTCCTCTAATTTCCATCCTCCTTGCCACCACAGGCAAGGCGTGCTGGCTGTCCCAGCAGCCATGGCAGATCCAGACGAGGTGCTGGTGGTGGCGGTGGATGCAGGGGCTGATGCTTATGATGCGGGTGCTGATTCCTCTCTTCATTCCTTTCATATCCCTCTTCTCCCCCCCTCCTACAGGCAGGGTGTGCTGGCTGTGCCAGCAGCCACGGCAGACCCAGACAAGGTGCTGGTGGTGGCGGTGGATGCTCATCCCCCTGCCCATTGAATGAATACTGCTATTCCCATTGCATCTCTCCCCTTCCTTCCTTTTCACAGGCAGGGTGTGCTGGCTGTGCCAGCAGCCACGGCAGACCCAGACAAGGTGCTGGTGGTGGCGGTGGATGCTCATCCCCCTGCCCATTGAATGAATACTGCTATTCCCATTGCATCTCTCCCCTTCCTTCCTTTTCACAGGCAGGGTGTGCTGGCTGTGCCAGCAGCCACGGCAGACCCGGACGAGGTGTTGGTGGTGGCGGTGGATGCAGGTGCTGATGACGTCATCAACCCTGGGGAGGACATTGCAGGGGGAGGAGGCGGAGGGCATGCGGAGGAGGGCGAGGAGGAGGAGCAGTAAGTTGGCTTTTTTATCATTCCTTTGGTCAAGGACAGGTGGGGAGGGGTATCTTTCAGTTTTTTTGCTGGTTCTTGCTCTTGTTCTTGTTCTTGTTCTTGTTCTTGTTCTTGTTCTTGTTCTTGTTCTTGTTCTTGTTCTTGTTCTTGTTCTTGTTCTTGTTCTTGTTCTTGTTCTTGTTCTTGTTCTTGTTCTTGTTCTTGTTCTTGTTCTTGTTCTTGTTCTTGTTCTTGTTCTTGTTCTTGTTCTTGTTCTTGTTCTTGTTCTTGTTCTTGTTCTTGTTCTTGTTCTTGTTCTTGTTCTTGTTCTTGTTCTTGTTCTTGTTCTTGTTCTTGTTCTTGTTCTTGTTCTTGTTCTTGTTCTTGTTCTTGTTCTTGTTCTTGTTCTTGTTCTTGTTCTTGTTCTTGTTCTTGTTCTTGTTCTTGTTCTTGTTCTTGTTCTTGTTCTTGTTCTTGTTCTTGTTCTTGTTCTTGTTCTTGTTCTTGTTCTTGTTCTTGTTCTTGTTCTTGTTCTCGTTCTCGTTCTCGTTTCTGGTTGTGCTCCTTTCTTCCTTTCAATAATCTTTGTTGCAGTTGACTTGATTTCTCTCATTGCCACACTCCCTTGTCTCCCTCCTGCTGTCCTTCTCCGCTTTTACCCCTCTCCTGTTCATCTCTTCCTCTTCTGCCCCCCCTCCTCATCCTCCTCTCTCCTCCACGGTCTCTTTCTTTCTCAGGTTCTTTAGAGTGCTCACACCAGCAGAGTCCTTTGCATCGGTGCGAGTGCAGCTGCAGGAGTATGGGCTGACGTTGGTTGCAACCCTCCGTGTCACCCCTCCCGTTAAATTATCTCTCCCCTTACCTCCGCTCCTTCCCCCCCTCTCTCCTCCTCTCCCCTCTCAGGTTCTTCCGAGTGCTGACTCCAGTCGAGTCCTTTGCATAGGTGCGGGTGCAGCTGCAGGAGTATGGGCTGACGTTGGTTGCAACCCTCCGTGTCACCCCTCCCGTTAAATTATCTCTCCCCTTACCTCCGCTCCTTCCCCCCCTCTCTCCTCCTCTCCCCTCTCAGGTTCTTCCGAGTGCTGACTCCAGTCGAGTCCTTTGCATAAGTGCGGGTGCAGCTGCAGGGGGGGAGTATGGGCTGACGGTTCAACCCCCTGTACCTGCGTATCTCCCTCACTTTCTCCCTTCCCCCTTATCCTCCTCTCTCTCCCACGGTCTCTCTCTTTCTCTCCCAGGTTCTTCCGAGTGCTGACACCAGCCGAGTCGTTTGCCTCGGTGCGAGCACAACTGCAGGGGTACGGGCTGACAGTAGATGATGCAACACCATTAACCTTTCTTCCTCTCTCCTTTCCCATCATCCTCTCACCTCCACGGTCTCTCTCCCCCACCAGTTTCTTTCCAGAGCTCACGCCAGCCGAGTCCTTCGCATAGGTGCAAGCGCAGCTGCAGGAGTATGGGCTGACAGTAGATGATGCAACCCTTTATGTAACTTCTCCCATACATTCCTCTCACCTCGTTCCTACCCCTCTCCCCCCACCCCTCCCTCTCACCTCCACGGCCTCTCCCCCCCACCAGGTTCTTCCGAGTGCTCTCGCCAGCCGAGTCCTTCGCATCGATGCGAGCCCAGCTGCAGGAGTATGGGCTGACGTTTGTTGCAACCCTCCGTGTCACCCCTCCCATTAACTTATCTCTCCCCTTACCCCCACTCTTCCCTTCCCGCTCTCCTTACCCCTCTCAGGTTCTTCCGGGTGCTCACGCCAGCAGAGTCCTTTGCATCAGTGCGAGCAGAGCTGCAGGAGTATGGGCTGACAGTGGATGCAGAGCACTCAGGCCTCATGTTCATTCCCACCGCCACCATGCAGGTACGTCTAGCACCATGCAGGTAGACCTGGGTAGGTAGGCTGGGCTGGGCGGGTGGCACGGGGGCGCAGCTGCAGGAGTATGGGCTGGCGGTGGATGCAGAGCACTCAGGCCTCATGTTCATTCCCACCGCCACCATGCAGGTAGATTTTCTACGGTGCAGGTACATCTGGGGTAGGTAGGTTCCTCTGGGGTGGGCTAGAATAGAGGGTTGTGCAATAGGTGCACGGCTTGAGGGCACGGGGCCCAGCTGCAGGAGTATGGGCTGACAGTAGACGCGGAGCACTCAGGCCTCATGTTCATTCCCACCGCCACCATGCAGGTAGGTCTGGAGTAGGGGGGTCTGGGGCATTGTGGGTGGGTACGGCTGGCAACCGCAGGGGCAGGGGCTGGTGGATGCGGAGCACTCAGGCCTCATGTTCATTCCCACCACCACCATGCAGGTACGGCTGGGGTAGGTAGGGAGATCTAGCATGTGGGGGCACGGTACGAGCGCAGCAGGAGTATGGACTGACAGTAGATGCAGAGCACTCAGGCCACATGTTCATTCCCACCGCTACCATGCAGGTACACCTGGGGTAGGTTCTTCTGGTGTAGGGTGGGCTGGGCAGGGATAGTACACGGTGCATGGGCGCATGGCATGGGCCCAGCTGCAGGAGTATGGGCTGACAGTAGACGCGGAGCACAGAGCTCATGTTCATCCCCACCGCCACCATGCAGGTAGACCTGTTAGGAATCAGGTGGACCTGTCAGGATGGAGGCAGGGTGGACTACATCATCTGGGGTAGGGTGGTCTGAGGTAGGGTGGTCTGAGGTAGGATGGTCTGAGGTAGGGCTTGCTGGCTGGTACGACGTGCATGTTGGGAGGTGGGGCACCTGTGACCTTTGGGGCAGCTGCAGGAGCATTATCCAATGCTACGTGTCTGAAGAAGTGTTTTGAGACGTCTCAAAACACTTCTTCATACACGGGGCTATTTTGAGACGTCTCAAAACACTTCAAACACATAGCTGCAGGAGCATTACCCGATGCTGGATGCACTGAAAACACTCTTCTTTTCTTCAAATTCTGGTTTTCCCTTCCCAACCCAACCTGTTTCCCAGCCTGACGAGGAGGCTCGAGAGCAGAACGAAGCTGTGATGGAGAAGCTCCTGGAATTGGACGATGTGGATGCAGTTTACTGCAACCAATAGGCGTACACACTGTATGCGATACTATAATGTGGATGCAGTGTATTGCAACCAATAGGCGCGCACACTGTATGCTTTACGATAAAGTGGATGCAGTGTACTGCAACCAATAGGCGCGCACGCTGTATCCAATAGTGACTTTTGAGGCGCCTCTAAAGTTGTGGATGCAGTGTACTGGAATAATAGGCGCGCACACACTGTGTGTGATACGGTACGATAATGTCGTTCTGTAATGATTGTTGAGTAACATTGAAACCATACTAGCCTGCATAACTCACTATGTCCACGGCTCAAGCACGAACCGCCAGCGGCTCGAGCCAGCGCAAGCACGAACCGCCAGCGGCTCGAGCCAGCGCAAGCACGAACCGCCAGTAGCTCGAGCCAGCGCAAGCACGAACCGTCAGCGGCTCGAGCCAGCGCAAGCACGAACCGCCAGCGGCTCGAGCTGGTTCGAGAACGAAGCACACGAACTGAGCCTGCGGATCTAACCTTAACGCGGCGTATGAGGCGTCTCAGAGAAGCTGCTTTTTTCGGGCGCCTCGGAAACTGATATTCGATGCGGCTCAAAAGCTGCACAAATGAGGCTGCTGTCCTTAACCTAACGCGGTGGAAACGTTTTATGCCGGTGACAGCCATGACGGTCGCGACGGTTGTCATGGCTGCGGGGCCTAAGTTCACCGGGCGATCCCCCTGTTTTGACTGAAAAGGAAAAGGTATTTTCCAGGCAGACCCTGATTTTGACGAAGGTATTTTTTCCCACCCGGGAGGTAGTTTACGGGTCCGAACCTTTTTGGGGATGCTTGGAGGGGACCCGGAAATCAAAAAAAGCTCATACGGGCCTCCCTCTATCCTCATAGGACATGCTTTCCGCGGTTCTGCTCTAAGCGTTCCCTCTGTCCTCGTCACCTCCTTTGTGGTATTTGTGAAATTCGGGCCTCGTAACCATCGTACCTCTGTGTTCCGTTGACCCGTTCGTACGTCGAAATGGGGCTTCGTAGCTGGTTTCTCTATCAACGTCCGCGAAAAAACTGCCCCCTCCCCTCCCTCCCTCATCCCCATCCCTCCCCTTCGAACCTTACCCGCAAAACCATGTGCACGTTAGTGTCAGAAGCTAGTTAAAATTCGGTCTTTACGAGAATGCTTCTGCCAACATTGGCTTTTTTTATCAACAGACTGACGACGCGGAATGACGACGCGGAAGCGTTGAGTCTTAGGTTTTTGTTTTTTTTTTCCACAGGCTGGGATTTTGCAAGGCCTTTTTCAGAGGGGCCTGGATAATCTAGGATAGCAGTAGGCCAAGCAATAGCGACGGTAGGAACTGAGCAGACGGAATGACGAAGGAAAGGACGCTGGGGGAGGGATGCGGCAAGGGATATAATGAGATGGGCAATGTTTTTGTTCGGTTGGAAAAGGTTTCGAAGTCTGGAAGAAACGAACAGAAAAGCTGCATGCCCTAGCAGAAGTTGCACGAGGTGTTCGTTCAGTTTTGTTTTCTCCCGTTTCCGCGTTCCCCACAAACCCGAAACATATGTTCTCGATCTCACCTCCACCCACACACAACCTTACCCCCCCTCCCCACCGAATCCCCTCTTCCGCACACAATCTTCACCCTCGAAAGGGCGCAGTCGGGGACACAAGACAACACATGGAAGTGGGAGCGCAGGGACAAGTGCACTGGCTACAGTACACCAGGTGGGTTTGGCACTTGCCCCCTCGGTCCCCGGGACTCGCGGGCGGGAGCGATCAAGTGTTTTGGGGGGGCGCAAGGTGCCCAGGGCGTTGCGTCAGAGTGCGGGAATTAGGAAACTGGCGCAGGTCCTCAGCACCCCTTGGCGGGTGACAAGAATTGGCGAACCATCGTTACAATGGTTTTTCGCCTATCGTCAAGGAACCCCTGCACACCAATTGCGTGTAGTTTCCTGGCTGGGTTGGTCTGGGTCCTGGCTTGATTTACTGTAGCGGGCGAATTCTCCGCAGCGAAGGGCTGGTGGTGAGTCAATTGAATCTGCTTCGCACGAAAGTTGTTTCCTCGCGCGCTACGAGATTGGACCAGTGCAGGTGGACAGGTGTGGGACCTCACCCGGTGCACAGCTGTTTCCTCACACTGTGTGCAATACACAGTGATAGGGACGGGATGGAGGGCAGCAATGTGAAGTACTGCGAGCCGGGCCGGACTTTCAAACCCCAGATCACGGGAGACAAACCAACCAACCACCAACCAACGAAGGCTGGGGACTTGAGGTGCAGATGCCAAGGTTGCGAACGTTCTCAGGTGGTTTTCCAGGGTGCCTCAACCAAGCAAAAGTGGGTGCCTTCGTACCGGAGAGGTGTACAACACTAACCACGAAAAGTGATGGGGTGGGATGTTCATACGGCGCGGCTCGGGAAAAACCCCGCCCACGCCTTGGAATGCACGGGGCGCGGAGACATCGTGGGGAGCGTGGGGCGAAGTCGGCCACCCAGAATCCCACCAGGTTTGGCCTTAGCGCGGCCATGCGTGGCTCAGTGAAACCCACCAGGTTTCTACCGAAAGCTCCGCGCCCCCCCAAAAACCGAAGGAACCCATCTCGTTCTTGCGCGCCGATGCATGCGCGACTCGGTACAAAACGCACGCGATTGGTCGGAAACATTAACGAGCGGGACTTCCCGCGCATGCAACTGAGCGTTCGCGAAAAAATGGAGCGCTGCTATTGGTTGTGTTGTCTCGCATCTTATCGTGACCAGTATTTGCACAAGGAGTGGGTGGGTAAGCGCACCGCTTGATTCGGTTCGGAAACAGCTGGCGCGATCTGGTAGGCTCCATGCTAGCTGACGCGTGCAGCAATTCGAACGAGCCACACAGCTGTAGCTGTTTGGTCGAGGCGCGATCGCGGTAGCGTGTCAATCACGTCCATGCGGAGTCCGGTCATTACTCCGTGCATGCCCACACTTTCGCTTTTCGCACGCCAGTTGCACACCAAGCTCTTCCCTCTCATGACCCACTGGATTCACCGGACTTAGATGGAAAACGGGACACCAGGGTCGCGGTGTATGTCGGTCTAGAATGTCCGCGAGCACCGCGGCCGTAGTCACACCCGGGTGTACAAGTAGTGACCGCGCATCATGTTGACGCGCGCGGTGAATAGGAGTAAAGGCATTATCGCACGCCGCATGCATACCGTGAATCGCGTCGCGGCGCCAATACTTCACGACTCCATCAATGCTACAGACAACACAACCGCGCAGCAAATCCATAATACCGATCCGCCTCTCGCCCCCGTGCAAGGCGTGCACGCGCTCAACCCTACATGGAGCATCCCATACGTGCAGCCTGTGGTTATTGGGTCGTGGATGCACGCGTTCCACCCACAGCAACTGGTGAATGGGCTCCACCTAGCACCGCGGCCACATATTCCGTTTGCGGCTGAGACGGTCGCGTTTTAAAATCAGCAGGATGATCTAACCGCGCATGGAGTATCCACGCCTCATCCCGGACCACAGGCTGATGGACAACACACCGCGTCCCCGTCCGTGCCCACAAGCCAGCTCTATGGGATGCCTGTGCGTGGCTTCGTAGGGCCGCAGTACGCGAATGTGGGATTCAGGTACGGGTACATCGGCGATCAACCACCGACCACAGTGCACGCACCCGCGTCTGTCGCGACTCCTCCAGTCGCCCCGTCAACCCCATTCCCCGGCGCGATCTATCCGGAAAGCCAGCCAACGGGGCAAGCCCCGCCAGACCCTAGTGAACCATTAGTGGTCAGTGTGGACACACAGCCGCGAACAGACAACCCATTATCGAACGCGAATACCGACGGATTAGTGTGTGAGGTGAATGGTGGAGCGGGGATGAATGCAAGCGCGCGTGCACATTCGCCGCCAATATGGAACGTGAACTCACTGTTACCGGGAAACCCGGACGTCCACATCCGCACCCCCGCGCAACCGACCGCAGCGGACGCGACCGATGTAGGTGGGCAACCACAGGCGAATGCGGGGAACGCGGACTGTGGAGCGTCTGCAGGAGGAAACGCGGGAAGAGGAAGAGGGACTGGTGCAAGGGGAAACGCGGGAACAGGAAGAGGGACTGGTGTAAGGGGAAACGCGGGAAGAGGAAGAGGGACTGGTGCGAGAGGGAACGCGGGAAGAGGGACAGGTGCGAGAGGAAGGGGTGGGAGAGCGAGCGCGGGACGTGGGACCGGTGTGGGAGGGAACGGAGGTAGTGCGAACGGGCGGAGAGCGCCTGGGGTGACAGGCAACTGCGGCAGAGGTAACGGTGTTAACGCGACCGGAGGTACCGGGAACGTGCCAGTCAGTAGACCGCGTATAAGGAGGCGGTGAGTCGAAGTCGTACCGCACACGGCACGCAACGGATCGAGGGAGGGGAGCGAGGGGCAAAGCGATGAGGATGACGAGGACGACAACGAACGGGTGCGGGGTACGCGAACGGACTTGGAGGTCCCCATCACGGATTGGAACACGCTTGGTGTGGACGACACGCCGGCCGCAAAAAGAGAGATGTGCATGGGCATCCTCTATGGTGTCTCTGAGGCCACGCTGAAGAAGTATCACGGTTGGGCCAGAGAGTACAAGCTCTTCATGGCGCACGAGCTGCCAAAACTGGACGCGAGTAGGTTTGGTGAGGAGGCCTCGTTGAGAAACGCGAACCCCGACGAGATCGGGGTCGCGCTCGAGCAGAACATGGGTGGTGACTGGAAGATGGCGGAGGGCGACGAGCAGTGGTTCCACGGCCGTGAGACGAATCCGTGGCGCTTACGCAAATACGTGACCTTCCTCGCGAACGAGACGGTCGCGCAGTCGGACAGAATGGCCACACTCAAGCGGCCCGACAAGACCTTGAAGAAGAGACGCCAGTGCTCCCGTGCAATGCTGATGGGGCGTCTCAAGGCTTTGAACCTCCTCATCAAGCTGGACGCGGCCATCTTCAGGAAGCCCGTTCTGAACCTGCTGCGTGACTTTGCGGAGTGTCGCATCTGGGTCCGCGTTCAAGTACGCGACCAGTACAAACGGTTTATCGCGTAAGTATACCAACCCAATGAACGCGTATGTCCAATGAAACCGCGTTCACTAACAGACTCACTATCGTCCAACTCGTTGCGAAGGGAACACATGGATCGCCATCGGGGCACGGCCGCGGACACGTACAACTCGGACGAGTTCAAGAAGATGATGCGGAAGACCAGCATGGCAGCCATCTTGTGCAGCTTCACACTAGCCAAGCAACAGTACACGCAGGCACTGCATCGCGACCTCTGCATCCAGACGATGACCGTCCTGGGTCATCACACACTAGCCCGCGGGTGCATGATCTGAAACCTCCAGCTTCCAGACATGATGATGTGGAAGCTCGGCGCAAAATCCGAGACTGACCCAGTGCGAAATGCGTTCGATTTTGTCTGCGCGTGCAGGACGGGCAAGACAAACAAGGACTTCTCGCTCAACTACATCTCGGCAGTGAGACACATAGATTGGAGTCTGTGCGCGGTCGGAGCCACGCTGCTCTGGCTGCACTGGGTGTACGAGTTGGTCCCCATCCTCTACGGGGATATAGCCCCCCCTCTCGACTTCACGGAACCCTTGACGTGGTACGACCAGTACCTCTTCTTCCCCCTTCGCGCGGGCACAAAGAAGCAGATACCGCCCACGACTCATCACGACTGGGCGGCGAAGATTTTGGGGGACGCGGGAATCACATGCTCGCGTGTGGTTCACGCGACGAGAGCTGGTGGGGCTCAGCACTCGTCCGCGGACGGAATGCCCTCTGATCAGCTGGCGAGACTAGGGGGTTGGCGCTTTATCGACGTGATGACTAAGCACTACCTCACAACTATTTCGAGGGAGGCCGTGCTCCTGAAGGCTGGCTTCACAGGGGCTGATGGTGACTACTTCCTGGGTCGCGCAACTGTTCCGGTGAGCGAGAAGCTGGAGAAGCAATTGAGGAAGCACATTTTCCCCTGGGCCGCACCGGACAAAGGACAGAAACAGGTATGTGTGGGCCGCGTACAGTAGTATCAAATGACCGCGATCATTCCACATAACCCTCTGGCACCGCGCTAACTACCGCGTTGTTGTGTTGCACAGTGCCATGATTACAACCGGAAGATGGTCAGCGAGGACAAGGCGGAGAAGCAGGACACCGCAGGTCTAAACATACTGAAGGAGCTGGATGGGGAGGCTAGGATGGCGGTCGCGCAAGACCTGGCCATGTGTTACATCCACTAGCCGCGACACCCGTACGTGGTCAACAACCCGCTCTGCCAGACGGAGGAATTTGCGCGGTGGGCAGCAGATGTCTCCTTGGCAAATCAGCTGGCCATAGTACAGCGTAACACACCTACACTGACCCATCCCGCGGTGCGTACTGCATGGTTGCGTTACTAATTTGGCTGTAATGTCTATGAGTACCCATCACAATATCGCATTCGCATTCTGTATATGCAGGAGGTCAGTACTAGAATGGACGCGCAGAACCAGGTGACCGTCCTCACTGAGTACCTGACTCGTTCGCAAGCGGACAACACCAGGCTGGGTGTAGAGTTGGTAGCGACTCATAAACAGATGAAAGAGCTGGAGGTTCTGTTGGAAGATAGCGATCGGGAGCTGGCCGCGAAAGACAAACGCGTGAATGATCTGGAGGCCCAGCTGTCGTGTCTCACCGTGAGCAGCTCAGGGCCGACCGCGGATCCGAGTCCGGCAAACACTCCTGGAGCCGTGGTCGCGCCTACCAATGCCGCAACCCCCACCGACCAGGGAATGCGTAAGAAACCCGCACAGCCGACCAGGGACGAGACAATTCGGGACGCAATCATGAAACCATGGGTCAACGCGACCAAGCCGTCGGACGGATGGAAGCTGTACAAGTCCACGCACCCGCTGATCGGCGAGAGTCCTGAGTCGCTCCTGTCCCAACCCCCCGGTGCAGTTACGCGAATGGCCGAGCTCATTGGGAAGGAGGGAGGCGGCCAGAACGCCGCCCAGAATGCGATAAACCGTGTAAAGCGAGTCATGGACATCATCTCCCGCAGGGTGGAGCAGGGAGACAACATCGCGGTCGTGCTCGACAAGCTCGACCTCGTGTCTCGAACTGTGGGCATGTCGGGTGTGTCGGAAGGTATCGCGGTGAAGAAGAAGAGTGTTAACTTGAACCTGAGCGAGCTGAAAAAAGGTTCTCCGGCGGAGGTGCAGTTGCGGGTGAAATGGATGCTGGTACGCGACCGCATGATCGATGCCTCTCTACCCGCGTCAGAGTTTCCGGTCGCGTGGCCTCAGTACTGTGCCCAGATGCCCCGACTAGCTTAATTGGGTGGTCCTACTATGTTCGCGTTGGGAAATAGCTTTAGATTGTGTTTCAAACAGGTAAACCCAGTACCATACTGCTAGATTCGGGTGTTAATTGTACCGCGGTCGAATTGTGTGGTCTGTACAGTTTGTTCACCAAAAAATGCGCGTTTAAGGTGACCGCATACGCGTTCACATACTGCCTGCGGCTATTGCTCTCGTGCATACTTCACATCAGCGCCGTGCCTATTTAGGGGTGATGTTAGGTCAATGTCCATGATGGATTTACGCAAATCCTTGGCCGCGTGAGAAGCAAAAGAGTTGAATTACGAAAAAGGGGAGGGAGTACACAGCACAGACAGAATGACCACCGCGAGAAAATCTCAAACAGGGTGGGCAAGCTACCTACACTACTAGGAGTCTCATGCGACCACACATACAAGAGTCTTTGTCACCTAGAGTTCACATCCTCTATACTACCACCTTCAGGCGGACCACTTCTTCGCAAACAGCCGCTTCTCCGGCAAAGAGAGGTAGAGCCCGTTGGCCTCCATCACCTTGGCCGCGATCTTGCAGTCGCACCAGGTCATCAGCACGTCTACTGCCTCGTGCGTGACCATAGCGACTAAAGTGGGGTCTCCAAGTCGCACACCAAGACGGTTCACGACCGCGGTCTCAATCTTCTCCGCAATCTGCTTCGGTGTGACCTCAGGGGCTTGCTTGCGATCATTCTCCTTCCTGGCCCACTTGAAAACCGCAGTCACGATCGTGGCGTAACCGCAGGCCGTTTCTTCAGGCGTGCCAGCAAGCTGCGCCGTGGAGTATCCAGCATTAGCGATAGCCTCGAGTTCGAGACCGTTGCTGGTCTCCCACACCATCGCGATGGCGCACGCGACCGCACCAGCGAACAGGCCCGCTTGGGCGCCGGTGACATCGCGCTCCTCATCTGCAGCCTCCTTCCCCACCGTGGCTGCCCAAGCTATCGCGTTGCTGATCGGGGACCCGCGGCGGGAGAGGTCGTGGTAGGCCTTGAAAATGTGGTAGTACCTGCATGCATGGGGTAACACGCAACATGGTTAGGCACGAGTGTGACCGCGTAAAACAAATGAGTGATCAGATGACCGTACTTGTCAACATTGGCCGCAAAGGTTGCGGAGGTGCATGGTGGCGAATAGCCCGGTGCACAATGTCCCGGCCGCGGAGATGTCCTCGGCCCACTCACTCTTCTGCTATGCACTCAGCTTGAGCCCGAGGTATATCTTCTTGTCGTAACACATCACCCCGATCGCGGTCAGATACTGCACCTCTTGGAGAGAGTGATGTCTGAGCTAGCGACGTCTCCCCCCAAGCCACGGTTTGCCCACCATCCCCTCCCCACCCCCTGGACAGAGGGCGGATACCACAACCCTTGCGCTTGCTGCTTGTTCCGCTGGTGTCGCTTGGCCCCAAGAACCTCTGCATCACAAGCTCAACCTCATCGTCCGCGTCCGAGTCGTCGTCGTCGTCGCGTTCACACTTCAACGCAGCTGCAGGAGGCTTACAACCACTGCGGCCCTGATTCTTCGCCTTCACATCTGCAGAGGGGGGGATGGCAGGGGCGATAGAGCTGCGTCTAGGCTGTCCTGGCGCGACCGCGGCGGTGTTGCCTGACGCGGGCACAATCACGGTGGTGATGGCGGTGGTGGTGGAGGTGGTGATTGGCGGGGCGTCCTCGACCTTGGCCTTGCCTTTACCAGCTTCCACCCCCGAGGTCGCAGAGGGTGGTCCACCAGCAGCAGCAGCCCCCCTGTTGGTCCCCGCAGCACGTTCGACGACCGCGCCACCCTTGGACTTCAGAAGGTCGGTGACGCTATGGATCGCGTGATAAGAAACGAGGAATGAATGCATTGAGCAGAGTGAGGAGTACAAGTAGTAAACCCTTACGTGTTGTACCCCATATGAACTGCCCCACTACAGCCTACACAGACTATAGCATATATGCCTGACACACCCCCATAGGCAAAGTGGGGGAGAACAAGGGGTCACAAGACCAGTCAAGCAAAGCAAAGCAAGCTCAGGGTGGATCACAACGTCACCACACAGTCCAAGCACAAGAGCAAGGCCACAAGGCCAGTTCACATGGAAGATCATATATATAAAGGTAAACAAGCAAGTGCAGGTATAAAAAGAGTACTGTAACAACAAGATCACGAAGTGAGCAAGTGAGGCCAAGTAGGCACAAGACCTAGCATAGCAAAGAAGCGCTGATGATCACAAGACGGAAGGGCCTTGGTGAAGATATCAGCAGTATTGGCCTCAGAGGCCACGTAGGTGAGGCGGAGTTGACCACGCTGTTGCAGCTCACAAGCCAGAAAGTAGCGAAGAGCAATGTGCTTCATTCTGTGCTCCAGTATGTGCTCCCGACACAAGGCCAGCATGGCCTTGTTGTCTACGTACAGAACTGGAGGAGAACGAGGCGGCTCTCCTAGGTCAGTCAGCAGGTAGGTGAGCCATGGCCCCCGCGTAGATCTCAGCCTCACAGCTGGAGGTGAGAACAGAAGACGAGCGGGTAGACCGCCACGAAACAGAGCCGGAACCAAGGCTGAAGGTGTAACCCTGTGACGGCCGCTACGTAGCCTGGTCGTCAGCCGAAGAAGCGTCTGCGTGACCTGTGAGGACCACTCGACGTCGCCCTCCAAGCACTAGCCCCATGCCCAATGTACTGCACAAGTAGCGCAACAACCTCTTCGCTGCAGCCATGTGCTCTGGTCGGTGTCTCCCAGGAGCAACATAGCGTGCCAAGATGCTGAGAGGGTATGCAAGGTCAGGTCGTGTGCAGGTCATCCGGTACATGAGGCAGCCAACAAGCTCTGGGTACGGGCAACTCGGCTCTACGGACTCATCCAAAGGAAGACCTGAGAGCGAGTGGTGAGTAGACAGAGGAGTGGCCTGAGGCGAGGAGTACGTGAAGCCGAAGCGCTGAAGGACCTGCTGCACCATGTGTGACTGAGTCAGGGTAATGGTGCGCTGTGCTCTGTCCCGGGTGATCTGCAAGCCAAGGTAACTGCGCAGTTCACCCAGGTCTGTGCACGTGTGTCTCTTCTGCAGCTCGGACTTCACGTTGGCAAGTCCAGCAGTGTCACCAGTGGCAAAGACCAAGTCGTCGACGTACACGAGGATGTAGAACGGCGGCAGAGAGGTGTTGGTGCTTAGAAACAAGGACGGGTTGGCTGTAGAAGGAGCAAACCCAAGAGCCGCAAGTGTAGTCCTAAGTGTGTCATGCCACTCACGGGGCGCCTGGCGGAGACTGTAGATTGGCCGTCAGAGGCTCCACTGGGTACCAGGAGGAAACGACCCAGTGAAGCCAGGAGGGCGGCGCAGCCAGATCTCCTCGTGCAGGCTGCCCTGCAGGAAAGCTGTGCTGAAGTCAAGAGAGTGAAGCTCGGAGTCGCACTGAGCGGCTATGTGCAGCAGCACCCGAAGAGTGGTCATCTTCGGGGTGGGAGAGAAGGTCTGAAAGTAGTCAACTCCCTGCCGCTGTCTGAAGCCTCGAGCGACGTAACGTGCCTTGAAGACAGGCGGAGAACCTAGCGGCCGCTTCACCCTGAAAATCCACATGCCATTGACGATGTTCGCCCCAGGTGGGGGAACCTCGTCGACGTAGGTGCCTGTGGAATTCCAGGAAGCCATCTCTGCGTCTATGGCTGACTGCCACTGAGAGGAGTAGGGACCCTCGATCGCCTCAGCGTACGATCGAGGACTCGGGATGTCTGGTGCATCCGGGTCTCCCTCAGGGGCAATCAGCGTGGACACGAGATGAGGCAAAGCAACAGCAAAACACTGGAACTCCTCCTGCCTGTATTGAAGGACGTCCGTGCTAAGAGCACACCCACCCCCGACAGACGGAGGACAGACAGACTCGGACTCAGCAACAAGACTAGTGGCGTAGTCTAGACGATAGCGAGCAGCGAAGTCGACAAGCTCAGCCACTAAGGGAGACGCAGTAGTGGACTCAAAGGAAGGGTCAGTGACAACTATGGCTAGGAGACGTGTGACAGTAGGACTGGCAGCACGAAGAGAGTCAGAGGCCGGGTGAGGGAGAAAAGGAAGAGAGGACTCTAGAGGAGATGGCAACGGGACACGCAGGAGGACGCGAACCACGACGACTAGCGCGAGTAGCACGAACAGGCGACGCAGGACGAGACGCAGGCTCACGACGCTCAGCAAGACCTCTAGTAGGACCAGTGTAGGGAGAAGGTGCAGGTAGAGGGGAGGCGGGCTGTAACTGTGACTGCGACTGGACAGGCTGTGGACAATGTAAGGGAGGAGCAGGACCAGTAGAAGGCGGGAGACCAAGAACGTGCTCAAGGAGCGGAATAAAGTACGGCCGCGGCCGCGCAGTGCCTCCAAATTCAGTAGGGACAGCACCAGTACACCCAGTGGCAGCACCAGCGCCAACAGCACCTCCAGCTCCAACAGCGCCAACTCTAGCACCCTTAAATGCACCAGCGCCAGCAAAAATCACCAGCGCCAACAACCCCAGCAGCTCCAGCTTCAGCACCACCAGCAGCACCAACTCCAGCAGGACCGGCAGCTTTAGTACCGTAAGCAGCTCTAGTAGGACAAACTTTAGTAGCCCGAGCAGCACACCTAGGCCCAGCAGCTCCAGCACCGCCAGTAAGAGCACCTCCGGAACCAACAGCAACAGTTGTGCCTCCAGCTCTAGTCGTACGGCTCCAGCGTCGGGCAAACCACTCGCGCAGCTCTTGCGGAGAGAGTGGCTCCCGCCTCGACGAAGCACCGCCGGCGGTCACACGAGCAGACCCAACGCCCCCAGGCTCCGCACCCCCATGCTCCGCACCCCCAGGCTCCGTACCTCCAGACTCAGCACCCCCGAGCTCAACACCCCCAGGCTCAGAAGCCCCAGACTCAGCACCCGCAGGCTCAGCACTGAGAAGATTTGAACGAGAAATGAAAATGACTAAGTGAAAGTTGGGTACAAATACAGATCCTAGAAAAGCTGTACCCCATATGTGCTACCCCACTATAGCCTACAGTAGCTATGTCATATAAATCTGACACACCCCCATAGGCAAAGTGGGGGAGAACAAGGGGTCACAAGACCAATCAAGCAAAGCAAAGCAAAGCAAGCTCAGGGTGGATCACAAAGTCACCACACATTCCGAGCACAAGGTCAAGGCCACAAGGCCAGTTCACATGCAGGAGTGCACATATATATATAACCCTAAACAAGCAAGAGCAGGTATATATATATATATATATATGCAAGAGTACAAGTAAGATCAAGAGGTGAGCAAGTGAGGTAAGACAGGTACAAGTCCCATCTGAGTGCAGAAGCGCTGATGATCACAAGGCGGAAGTGCCTTGGTGAAAACATCAGCAGTGTTGGCCTCAGAGGCCACGTACGCAAGTCGCAACTGACCACGCTGCTGCAGCTCGCGAGCAAGAAAGTAGCGGAGAGCAATGTGCTTCGTTCTGTGCTCTACGCGCTGCTCTCGACACAAGGCCAGCATGGCCTTGTTGTCTACGTACAGCACTGGAGGAGAACGAGGCGGCTCTCCAAGGTCAGTCAGCAGGTAGGTGAGCCAGCGAAGCTCCTGAGCAGCCATGGCCCCGGCGTAGATCTCAGCCTCACAACTGGAGCCGAGAACAGAGGACGAGCGAGTAGCCCGCCACGAAACAGAGCCGGAACCAAGACTGAAGGTGTAACCCTGTGACGACCGCTGAGTAGCCTGGTCGTCAGCCCAAGAAGCGTCCGCGTGCCCAGTGAGGACCACTGGACTCCGCCCTCCAAGCACTAGCCCCATGCCCGACGTACTGCACAAGTAGCGCAACACCCTCTTCATAGCAGCCATGTGCTCTGGTCGGTGTCTCCCAGGAGCAACATAGCGTGCAAGAATGCTAAGAGGGTATGCAAGGTCAGGTCATGTGCAGGTCATCAGGTACATGAGACAGCCAACAAGCTCTGGGTACAGGCCACTCGACTCTACGTACTCATCCGAAGGCAGAGCTGAGAGCGAGTGGCGAGTAGACAGAGGAGTGGCTTGAGGCGAGGAGTACGTGAAGCCGAAGCGCTGAAGGACCTGCTGCACCATGTGTGACTGAGTCAAGGTAATGGTGCGGCGTGCTCTGTCCCGGGTGATCTGCAAGACAAGGTAGCTGCGCAGTTCACCCAGGTCTGTGCACGTGTGTCTCTTCTGCAGCTCAGACTTCACGTAGGCGAGTCCAGCAGTGTCCGCTGTGGCAAAGACCAAGTCGTCGACGTACACGAGGATGTAGAACGGCGGCAGAGAAGTGTCGGTGCGAAGGAACAACGACGGGTCAGCAGTAGAGGGAGCAAACCTAAGAGCCGCAAGCGTAGTCCTCAGTGTGTCGTGCCACTCACGCGGTGCCTGGCGAAGACTGTAGACTGGCCGTCGGAGGCTCCACTGGGTGCCAGGAGGGAAAGTCCCAGTAAAGCC